AGGGTGATAATGATGATAATGATGATGATGATGATGAGGATGATGATGATGACAACGATGATGAGAATGATGATACTGATCATGATGATGATCATGATGATGATCATCATGCTGTTGATGATGATGACAATCCTGGTGATGCTGCTGACAATGATGATGGTGGTGGTGGTGGTGGTAATGATGATGATGATGGGGTTGATGACGATTATCATGGTGAGGATGGTGATAATGATGCTGATAACGACGAAGACGAAGAACACGACGAGAACGAGGAGGATGATTCTGATGGTGGTGATGATGATGGTAACGATAACCACGATGACGATGCCAATGACGATGATACGATGACGATGACGATACCGACGACGATGATGATGATGAGGGTAGTGATGATGATTAGGACAAGAGGAGAAAGCCTCATCCTTCGCCTCCACCCAGGAGGCGCAAGCCCCTCCTCTGACAGCCTTTCCCTGAGACCGGAGCACGCACCCAGGAGAAGACGCCACCGCCGACGACGACGGCGACGACAGAGACGAGGAAGACGCGACGCTGCCCTCGAGGGTGTCCTATTAGGCTGGCTTGAACAAAGGATTAGGTCCCAATTTACGGACAATCTGCCAGACTACCCATCGGTCGGAAGAAGTATATAGAAACATGAAGTAGGAAGGCGTTGAAAGTAGATCGGGTTCCCGCGCGTCCCCTGAAGAGCAGGGAAGAGGGAGACCCACTCGACACTTAAAGTAGGACGGCGGCCACAGCAGATTGGGATCTGGGATGCCCAAAAGAAAACCACCGTCGACGACCGATGGGTAAGCGGGCTTATGCCAATTCGACCATGGATGCGGTCGACATGTTTTACTGAAGGGGCCCTGGGACACACAACTAAATACACACAGCTTACAGGACTCCCCCTAGTTTCCAACATGTTATGGGTTTTTGTCTTCCCCTCCCACTTCCTATATTTTCCCAAATGTTCTGGGAATCGACGATGACTTGTGTCTGTGTGTTTCTTCCCTCCTGAGCGTGGACGCCTGGAGACTGGGACGTGGACATCGTGTCGCGCCGAGGCGTGGTCTGCCAGAAGCGGCAGTTGTTTAGTTTTGCGTCGGCGGCGAGGCAGGGGTCGTCTGGCGCTACAGTCGGGCTGCTGAAAGAAATGACGGGGCCCTGGGACACAAATAAATACACATAAATAACAGGATCCCCAATATTTTCGTATATTTTCTGGGTGTTTGTCCTCCCCACCACTTCCCATTTTCCTGGGGAACGACGATTCATTGTGTCTGTGTGTTTTTCCCCTCCTGAGAAATGAACGACAGATAAGCAACGAACATCGAGCCCCTTCCGAATCCACACTGCTTCTTCTTCCAGCGTCTTGGCTGCAGCAGAAAGGCCTCAACGGCGGTGCCGTCAGAGCGAATTGTGCCACCATGCAGGAGGGGAAAGAGGCGGAGGACGCGGCCGAAAGAGGGAGCGGAGGGAGCGAGGCGCTTGGGGGCACGGGTCACGCCCCGAGCGAGTGGCGCGGCCAGCCCCGCCGGCGGGCCCGCGGCGGCTGCTGCAGCGGCAGAACGACACGCAATCCCACAGTTCCCGACCGTCTAACAGCGTCGATGCCGAATCTAACCTCGCAGAAAGTTGCATCCAGACTCATGCATTCGTTAGGGGGCCACATGCGCACCCTACCCCTGCCCCCCACGATTTCTGAGGGGGAGGGTGGGGTTCACTTCGCTCAGACATCGCGGGGGGTAGGGGTAGGGCTCGCCTGTGGCCCCCTGTTCGTGCCCCTCCCGCGCCTGGCCGAGCAGCCCTGTACCTCTGCCACGTCAGACGCATGCGCCCTGCCATCTGCGCGGCTCGTCGAGGCGTCGCCCCGTGCGGGCGCTCGCTGGCGGAGGGCGAGAGCAACGGGAGACGGAGAAGCGCACTCCATCCCTGCACCTCTCGGGTCTCTCGCCATCGCTCGGGCGTCCATTCCCTCTGTTTTTTTCGGTTTCGTGCGTGGTTGTTTCGCCAAATGGTCAAGGATGCTCCTCGATGGTCCTCGTCGAAAGAAAAATGCACACGTCCGAGCGATGCCAAGGTCTGGGGTGGCAATTGTTGGGGCCGTGTAGGGTCACTTCAGGGCCGCTTTCCTGCCCTCCTCGGTGCCCCAGCCGTGTCTTTCGAGGCCTCCCTGATGGGGTCCGAGGAAATGGGCGCCGATGCATCGGCGACGTCGGCGGTGCTCTGGCGACGCCTGCGCGGAGAAAATTGGGCTCTACATCGAGCCGCATCGCCGATGCATCGGCGAGGCGGCACGATCCTCCGACCGCATCTGCTCCGACCCCATCGGGGAGACCTAGATTCGGGGCCACGCCCCTGTAATCCTCGATGCCCCGACCGTCTATTGCTCCCTTCAGGGCCACTTCCCTTCGGCTACACGTGGAAAGGACCCTGGGAAAGAAGGACCTTGGGTGCGCGACTTTCGGGGGCCGCGGGGAGGCCGAACAGAAGGGCGCAAAAGCCGCTGCCATCGCAGCGCACTCGGCCATCTGGG